GGGTGATACCTTTTATTGGGCCACCAAAGTAGATGTTGTCTAGAGGGGCGGGGTAAAAATTGAATAAATACATACATAAATAAAATAAATAAATAAATTAAAAAGTCAAACAAATTGCAAGCTTTCATGGAGAAAATTCCACGTCTTCAGGCTGAGCACAATACTTTCATGGATAGTGCAGATAAGACAAGAGTCCGAAAATAGATAGTACATGTCTCTGAGAGCTGGTGTTAGTCTTCTTGAGGCTGCTGTCTCAATCATCCTTGCAGCATAGTTTGGAATTTTTACACCCCTCTCTTAGGACCAAAAGGCTGCCAATTAGTCTGTGATCGCCCGCCCCCCTCCCCCACATTGCCTGCTTTGAAACTAAGGTTTGTTTTTGGCTGTGGGGTTGGGGAAAAACAACACAAAGACATATCAGCCTCTAGCAGGAAGTTTGTTTTCTGTCCAAAGTGGAAAATGTTGCAGATGTGTCTCTTCTGTTAAGTCTCATGGAAATCAATTGCATCTTTCTGAAGTTAGGCACTCTGTTGTTGTTGTTGTTGTTGTTGTTGTTGTTGTTGTTGTTGTTGTTGTTGTTGTTGTTGTTGTTGTTGTTGTTGTTGTTGTTGTTGTTTTCAATAAAAGTCATTTATTGGCAAAAATTGTAATACTTATCCAACAGGCTTTTGTAGGGAAGGAGGAAGTGCTAGCAAATACAGCACATTTGATTAGTATCCTTGGGGGAATAGATTTTTTTGTGGGGGACAGAGCCAGGCACTTGCTACATTGAATTGGTATTGAGGAACAAAATGAACTTTTCTGCATTTTCTTCTGCATTCTGTGCCATGAATTCAGTTGTTTTATAGGCTGACGACAGTGGAATAGGGTGGATAAAAAGCAATGATTTTTTTAAAAATCAATTTAAGTTTTTTAAAAATTATTTTTTAAAATTTCAATTGTCAAAAAAACCGTCAATTTTTAAAATTTAAGTCATGATTTAAATCGATTTGATTTGAATGAAATCTACACTACAGTGGAAGACATTTTAGAATTGTTATAAGGTCCCTTTTCTCAGTATTAGTACCTCCCTTACTCAGGGATGGTGTAATATGGCAGTAACATTACAAGGGAGCTTACTAGAGGTGGGCACAAATTAAAAACGAATCACCAAATTCATTCAAAAATTGCTAATTTTCATATTCGTATTTGTACAAATATGAACCCTGACAAATATGAATCAATGAATTTTTACTGATTGTTGATTTGTTGATTCATTTGGCTATAAAGTAGATACCCAGACACCTAAAGACAAAACAAGTGCAGAGAAGCATTGCTTAACTCTCCTCTACAATCCCTTCATGTTTGGTGAAGATTGGCTTTTAGACGTCCATGTTATATACCCACAAAGAGGGACTCCCCAGGAAAGTTCCCCCAGACGTTTAGAGACACCAACATTACAGAGAAACTTCCCATGACTCTCTTCTACACTCCCTCCACGTTTGGTGAATCTTGGGTTTCCCAAAACCAGCTGCTAAAGGGCGCTTTCCTGAGAGGACCCACTCTGTGGATATATAATTTGGAAGCCTGAAACTCAATACAGTGGCGCCTCGCAAGACAAATGCCTTGCAGGACAAAAAACTCGCAAGACAAAGGGTTTTGGCAATGGGGGGGCGGTTTGATGACCCGCAAGACAAATCTTCCTATGGCTGTGCTTCGCAAGACAAATGTTTTCCGTTTTTTGTTCCTGCCTCATGTTTGCAGATTTTTAAATGTTTTTCTATTATGTTTAAAAAGTTAAAGTTTTTTAATTGAAAATTTTTAAATCATCAGCACAATATGTATGGCTTTAAAGAGCACTTAGTAAACTCTTTGTAAACCAAATTTGACTTTGTTCTGACTTCCCCCCCCCATAGGAATGCATTAATTAGATTTCAATGCATTCCTATGGGAAAATGGGTTTCGCAAGATGAATTCATCGCAAGACAACATAAACCGCGGAAAGAATTAAATTTGTCTTGCGAGGCACCACTGTATTTACTAAACTTGGAGAGATCAGAGAGGAGTCAGTAGAAGGTTCTCTGTTATTTTAGTGTCTCTAGGTGACTGGGGGAAACTGTCCCAGGGGTTCCTCCTTGTGGGTGTATAACTGCGATGTCTGACAACCAAAGGTCACTAAATGTGCAGGGCTTGTAGAAGAGAGCCAGGGGAATCTTCCCTGTGAATTTGATGTCTCTAGGTGCTTGGGGGCTCATTTTATAGGGTTTCAATATACAAACAAGTTGACAAATTGATTCATCGATTCATCAGGAAAAATTGTAAATTTGTAATTTGTGATTCATCGATGTTGATGAATCACAAATCAGATTTTTTACTGATTCCTGCCCATCTCTAGAGCTTACCACCCTCCCTTGCTAAATAATAACTGGCATGACACAATATGTGCACACCGAAGAAAGATGAGGCCAGAGCAGGTGGGATCAATAGCAAAATCTCTCTGCAGGTACAGAGACCCTAGGCAAGATGTTGCTACCTTCTCAAGTATCTGAGCAACACCGATCTGCTTCACAAGGTTGATGCAGAGATTTATGAGATAAAGTACACAAAACACTTTGGACTCTCCAAGCATTACAGAAACACTAAGCATTACTATTATGTTTCCCCGAAAATAAGACAGGGTCTTATATTAATTTTTGCTCTAAAAATGCATTAGCACTTATTTTCAGGGGATGTTTTTTTTTTCATGTACAACAATCTACATTATTTAAATACAGCCATATCATCATCTTCTGGTTGCTTCACAATGGTGGAGGGCGGGATTTCACTTAACTGGGGCTTATTTTTTGGGTAGGGCTTATATTACGAGCATCCGGAAAAATCATACTAGGGCTTATTTTCAGGTTAGGCCATATTTTCAGGGAAACAGGGTATGAAAATAGAACTTTTTAAGTTTAAGCTAATATTGAAAAGAAATACAAGCTGCCACGTAGTACTATTTACTCCTGTGGCCCACCTCCAGATAAGAATGTGTTTTATCCATTCCTTCTCTCCCCACACAGACACTTTTGCCACTGAATAACAGCATTTTCATGAAGGAAAGCACCTTAAAATTCACAAGCTCTGCAATTTTTCCCTTGTTATGAAAGCCAGGACCTGTAGGTCACTTAACTGTGTACTGAAGATAAACTTTTCACAAAGGGCGTACTGTTTGAAGCTGCACCTGGTATCACAATCCCTCCATGTGATAACATGAGCTAGAAAAACTGTATTGGGAAGCCTTTAGATTCTGTTTCTGGATAAAGGGTTTCCGTTTATAACAGCCATTAGCTTTGTATGATCCATCTGCCATAAAGGTACCATTGTTTACAGAACGTAAAAGAAGATTGACTCCTTAACTACAACTTCATTCACCTCCTTGATAAGCTCTAAGATGGATCCCGTCATTAGTTACATTCCCATCACTACATATTATGATGACTTTTAAAGCCATGGCTGTACTTGCATTAAGTTCTACTGCTATTAATATTACAATGCTGTACGTGTTTACTTGAAAGCAGATCTCATTGTTTTCAGAGGCACTTATTTCCCAGGAAATTCTTATAGGATCTAACTTCTCAGAAGAAAACTTGTGAGTTCTTATTGATGCTAAAGCAACTATGGTACAATATTTGTATGCCTTTATAGCATTCATTCAATATTTGAATGAATGCTATAAAAGCATGCAAACTTACTAAAAACTTACTAAAACTATTGAATACCATTGACATTCCCTCTAAGCTGCACAGGTGGGCAGCTGCATCAGTGCTGCATCAGTGCTGCACACCTGAAGCCAGTATTGCCATCCATTTGGTTCTGGTCACGGCTGGAACCCCGCATGTATGGGGACCCCCCACCCAGCACTGGTGGAAAATTAAAGGGAACCAGATTACCAGATTTCCTTAGGTGTTTTGAACATCAGAGTTCTTTCTCTGGGAAATCTCAACATTTATTTAGAGACGAAACAATCAAAACCTGTATATCATCATATTTCAGCATCTGCTGGTCAATAGATCATCTTGTTTGTGATTTCAAAAAAGTAAGCTAACATGAATAGTTAAATGTGAGTTAACAGCCCATCACCTCCAGCAGTGCTCCGTCCAACGTTACAGCTAGTCTATTTCATAAAAACCAGGGGGAGAGGGGAGAATGAACCCAACACTATTCAATTCAGTGTATAGTTTATGCATATACGTTTGTATATATTGTACAATGGCCCAACTCTTTATACCTAGTTACACCTAACACAAATGACATAACTTTTGGAAGCAAAGTGCCTTAAGTTAAAAAAAATCACCACAGACATTATCTGTTGAATATTAAGTTAAGAGAATCAGCATGCAACATATAATGTGTATGATAATTTCTTAACTTGGGATAATTTGTCATCAAATGTTATGCCTTTTGTATAGCTATGCAAGAAGATAAAATAAATATGAAACAAGAGTAATTGCATGCTGTCGACTTATGGCGACCCTTTCCAGGGTTTTCCAGGTAGCTAAAACACAGAAGTAGTTTACCATTCCCTTCTTCTGGGGCCATCCTGGGATTGTTCACCTTGCCCAAGGCCACATAGGCTGGCTCTACTCATAAGAAGTACAGTGGGGAATCGAACTCTCAGCTTGTGGCTCTACAGCCAGATAACTAAACCATCAAACTAAAATATTAAATTAAATTATATTGTATTATAATGTATACATTATGTAAGTATATTGTGTAAACTTCCAAATGAAGGCCAGTGACTTTTCCAGCAGACCATAAAGTCCACAGGTGATATAATTAACTATGCAACATCTCAACGTCACAACAGTGTTCTTGAGATGTTTTATTACATATGTTATCCTTCTATTTGGTGAAGGTTTGGATAGGTAAAGAAGTATGTGGGATGGAATTCAGGAGCTTCTTGCTTATGCATATGCTTTTCTTAGCAATAAGCTTAAAGACTGATGGGGAATTCTCCTTTTTTCTCCCCCACCCTCACCTAGGTGATCTTTGCACTGAATCAAACTCTTTTGCAGCAAGAGAATCTTCGAGCAGGCAGCTTACAGATCCCATGTACAACAGAGGACCTGATCAAGCATTACAACTGTGGAGACCTCAATTCCATCATCTTCAATCATGACACTTCCCAAGTGAGTCTAGCTCTCTTATGCTTTGCATGTCACTGTCAGTCATCCTCTTCAGCTAACCAGTCAGCCAGTCTTCTCGAAAGAAAAGGCATAAAAACGGCATACTTTTTTGCAATTTAAAATAATTTTCATTTAATCTCTGGTGGCATTGCAATCCACAATTCTGCTTCTAGAAGCATGTTTAGTACTGTTGCTCTTCTGGTTTGCCAGGCCCTCCGGATGTTTTGGCCTACAGCCAGCAAGGGCCATGGTAAATGATCATGGGAGCTGTAGTTCAAAACACTTGGAGGCCAGAAAGTTCCCCAGTTGTGGTATGCACTGAGAGTAAGCCTCATTGAAGACAGCGGGACTTTGGAAAATACAGGAATACCATTGTGGTGAGTCAACATACATGGACTTAAACTAGGTTTTCTTTTATCCTGACATATTAGAAAGTGTTTTCAAGGATAATGTGAAGCAAGATGAAGAATGCTACTTGTACATGTTCCACAGTGTAGTTTGTGTGTGAGAGAGCTTCCGTGCCTACCAGTTGCAGCTAATGATAAAAGACAGAGGCAGTGCCCCTGACAGCATGCTTATGTCTAGATTGGACTAGTGTAGTGTGCCCAAGCTCACCTTGAAAATTATTTGACAGCTTTACATTGTACAAAATGCTGCCAACTATTTGAGGTCAGACCGTCTAGGTCAATATGAATCAGTACATCTGTTCTGAAACATGCTCTAGTTTGCTTGTTGTTGTTACGGTTGTTTTTGTTTGCCTGCTAAATTTCCATTTAAGTTTTCGAGTATTGCCGTTTTTCCACCCATCTGAACCTTTTTGTTTTGTTTTGTTTTGTTTATAGATGATATTATTTGCCACAAACATCAGGCATTGGGGTAGCAATGGCAGTTGTGGCTTTAGAAATGAAAAAAAAATACTTCTAAGCTGCGTCAGGCAGTCTTTGAGAATTTGGCAAGGTTTCTCTAGTGTAGAAACCTTTGGGGCTACATAACATTTGTTTCAAACAAAACTGGAAGTAACTGGGAAGATATTTCGGAGGGGGGGGAGTTGTGTTTTCAAACAAACCAGACTTTTTCGTGAAATGAGATATATGTCCATCCTTGTGTCCAACACTGTGTTATAGGAAAACTAGGCTGTTAGAGATACAGCATTCCCATTTTGTTCTTGTGAAAAAATTACTCCTGGGGTACAGTCACAGGATTCCTAATCTTGCTCTAAGATATTCATTTGCATTTCTCTTCAGTCTCTTTCTGGAGAAATGTAAAAACTTCTTTTCTCTTCCAAGCGTTGAAATTGTTAACTCACTCTGAAAATATGCTGAACTGCTTTATAATTGTATAGATACATTTTTTACTTTGGTAGGCATGACTGCCCTGTAGCTGAATGCGTTCAAGAAGTTAGGGATGATGTGGCAAGCCAACCGGTGGTTTATTTGAGCAAATCTTTGATTTGGTACCTGATATGATTTATATCTTATTGTTGAACAGGTGACATTAGGACTAAGAGGCACCTCTGAGCACCCTTACCCAACTGAGTCTAAAAGAAGAAAGCAGAGGCAGATTCAGAAGTAGAAAATATCCCTTTCTAGACTAAAAATCCCAGAATCCACAAGGCTGCAAAGCAATAGTCATGCTCAGTTTGGGAATCTGGGAATTATATTATCTTCCCCTGATGTTTGCCCTCTCTTTGTAGACTAGCCATATCAGTAGAGGAAGCTTTATTTGCACCTGTGGGGCAGGGTGGATCAGCTGATAGCACATGACACATGATACCTTGCCCTCGTGCTCTAGGCAGAAAATGGGACTTGCTATTGTTATTGTCAGCTGCCTTGCTTTTCTCTGCTCTCCTACACATATCAACCCACTTCTCAGGGCATTTAAGATGTTGTTGCTCCATGTCCTGTCTTTGTGAAGAAGTAAGAGCTGCTGTGGCCCTGGATCCCAGAAGCAGCAAGGCTAGTATTGAGTTGTTCTAATAAAATTATAAAAGGGACTACGTGATAGAGATCACCACTGCTATCCTTTCACTGCTGACTGCAACTAGCAAATGGGAATGGGGGCAGGCAGGGAAATGCTGAACAGCATTAATCAGGAACAGCTAGATGTTTCTTTAACATCTGGTTGGGTTCAGATAGCCAATGTATCATCCATGTTGCCACATCAACTATCTCTCCTCTTCTTTCGTAGGTCCCCAACTTCATCAATGCCACTCTGCCACCTCACGAACGCATCACAGCTCAAGAGATTGATAGCTACTTCACCCGGGAGCTTATCTATAAACGAAATGAGCGGATGGGGAAGAGAGTGAAAGATCTGTTGGAAGAGTATCCCGATAAAAGTTTCTTCTTTGCATTTGGAGCTGGTGTGTGTTTGCTTGTTTTTTTTTTTAACCATCAAAAGCGCACAATAGTTTTTCTTTTTGATGCTCTGCATTATGTGTTATTTTCATAACAAGATATGCTGAAGTATTCTGACTCCCCATCTAGAATGACAGTTGTTTATAGCAGGGTGGGAAACTTGTAGACCCCCAGAGTTGTTGGACTTCAATTCCCATCGTCCATTGTCATTGGCTATACTGGCCAGAACCGGTGGAAGTTGCAGTTCAACAACAACTGCAGAGCCTGCTTTACCTGACCTCGCTGTATAACCACTGGAAGAGGAGCTGCATACTTTAGGCTTTAGCAGACGTCCATCTGTGGATTATCTGAATGCAGTCGTGTGAGCAGGTGGGTACTGTTTGGTATAGAATGCCAGGATAAAGAGCAGTGGTTGTACAATGTAGTAGTTAGAATGGTTGTACAATGGTAATACGATACTCTGTTCTGTTGAAAAAGTTAGGCTATAAAGGTGTATGGGCAGTTCTGAACAGATGAGATTAAGGGTGGAATTGATAGGGTTGTGGAATTAGTCATAAAAAGAAATGAAATCATAGATAGGCAACCTCCAGAGGTCCAGGGGCCACAAACACCTATCCATGGACCTTGAAGGGCTGCTTCTGTGACCTTCACCTTCAAAAGTTTTTCTCACAGGAAATGTTTTTCTCAACTGGCTTCCCATGCCCTCTAATAGCCTACGGAATGTTTTTAAATAATAAAAAAGCTTGGAGCAGAGGCAAGGTGTGCTGACGAGTCCTCAAGGCATGGAAGACTTCTTCCGTAATGCCCCTAAAGAGGACTCAAAAAAACTTTTAAAGAAAATATTTTAAATGAAAAAAAAAAAGATTGGTGGCAAATGGGGAGGTGGGCACATGATGTCATAAAATCCTTTTTAGTGCCTCATGGTGCAGTGGTTAAACTGCTGTACTGCAGCCAAAACTGTGCTCACGATCTGGGGTTCAATCCCAGGTAGCGGCTCAAGGTTGACTCAGCCTTCTATCCTTCCGAGGTTGGTAAAATGAGTACCCAGCTTGCTGGGGAGGCAATGTGTAGCCTGCATAATTAACTTGTAAACTTCCCAGAGAGTGCTTGAAGCGCTATGGGGTGGTATATAAGCAGCATGCTTTTTGTTAAATTTTTATTTTTAGGAGTTAATTATATGCAATGGGTTTTATCTAGCAATACCTGTTTTAATATATTAGCCATATATACTATTGCTTTATTGTGTTATTAATTTTAATCTGATCTATTGAGCATGATAAAGGTCTCTCATATAGCTGGATACATTAAGGCCCTGGGGCCACACGTTGTTCACCTCTGAACTAGGTGCTAGAAAGTGCCTCCATTTGATTTAGGCATATATGAGTTAACACAAGTTTGACTCATTATCTGGTATATCAAATCAAACGTTCTTGGTTTGCTTGTAATCATTTTGGCTTGGAAGAGTCTGAATTTCAGTAAGTAACTTCTGAATTTTTGCAGGCCTGTTTCCAACAGAGATTTGAGTAGTGATTTGATGCCAGGGGCTTTGCTTCCCTGTCGCTTAAACTTGGGTCACAAGAAAAATGGCATACATGGGAAGAGGACAGAGGAACGGGGAGGAACTCCAGGGTCTGGACGCAGAGTAGCCATATTGGTTCTGGACTAAGTCCACCTGTTTTGTGATTCCTCCTGCCTGGGGAGTATCTGCTGGAGGCAGAATACATGCTTGCCATAGGGAAATTCACACCCTGCGATGACCATGCCCTTCCCGAAGCAGGAGTGTGTCGGTTTCTTTTTTTCAGTCTCTAAATTTTAGTGCTCAGAGTCAAAATACTAGTTTCCCTACCCTATTTATGGTTCTGCATTTTGAGCATTAATCTTGTAGGAGGAAACTACCCAGTCCTTACTGGCAATGTTTAAAAGACGTCTTGCCAAAATAGTTTGCAGAATTTTATAACCAATGAAATCTGAACTCTAGGTCCCACCACCACCTCACAGAGACAAATGTTCAAAAGACATCTTACCAAAATAGTTTGCAAAATTTTGTATCCAATGAAATCTGAACTCTAGGTCCCACCACCGCCTCACAGAGACAAATTTAGCATGTTGTTGTTGTTGTTTAGTCATTTAGTCGTGCCCGACTCTTCGTGTCCCCATGGACCAGAGCACGCCAGGCCCTCCTGTCTTCCACTGCCTCCTGGGGTTGGGTTAAATTCATATTGGTCGCTTCGATGACACTGTCCAATCCTCTCATCCTCTGTCGTCCCCTTCTCCTCTTGCCTTCACACTTTCCCAACATCAGAGTCTTTTCCAGGGAGTCTTCTCTTCTCATGAGATGGCCAAAGTATTGGAGCCTCAGCGTCAGGATCTGTCCTTCCAGTGAGCACTCAGGGTTGAGTTTCCTTCAGAATGGATAGGTTTGCTCTCCTTGCAGTCCAGGGGACTCTCAAGAATGTCCTCCAACACCACAATTCAAAAGCATCAATTCTTCAGCGGTCCGCTTTCTTTATGGTCCAGCTCTCACTTCTGTACATCACTACATACCACCTTTTTATTTACTAAAACCCACTTAGTTGTCACCAATTCCTCAAGCATGTCTTCACCAAATGTTAAAGTGACCCTTCTTGGATATCTGACCATACATATGGCTTGGAAACTGTAAGGTGACCTACTTCTGCTTGGGATTTCAGTCCAGTAGTTCCCTTCCCCCCCGCTGCCCCACCGCCCTCAAGAAAATGTTGACCAAGAATACATTACAGACGATGGATTATTATGAGTGTAAATCAGCAAAGCAAGTGATTTCACTCTGTGTTTAGTCTTGGCAGAGTATAAATTAACAGTTGCCACAGGTTTATGCATTCTTGTTGCCAAGTGGCACAGTGAGCCTTTCTTTATTCTGACTAATCCTTTCACACAACTGGAGGCAGAATGTGCCCTCATTTTCAGTGACTTTCACACTGTGTTTGAGAAACTCTAGATAAGCTTCTGATTAGTCTCAGGGTTTTTCTATTGCAAGGTCATTTATCATGCACTGGCTTCCTCACTACCTCCGTCCTTCCTCTGCAGTGTGTAGCTGTAAGAGTGTGTGTTGTAAATTGACGTGGTTGATGTGGATTAACAATAAGGGGGGAAGCTTGGAAATGGTTTTTTTGTTTTTTTTTTTGTTTGTTTTGTTTTTTTGGACTGCAGTGACCCTGGTGGCTGGGGGTGGGGATTCTGGTAGCAATTCTTTAAGACAAAACAAACTAAAACTCTTCTAGGCTCTGGTACAACTCTGTCGACCTGATCAGCACCTAGCATGATACTAAACATGGACCATAATATGATTCAGAATCTGCTGTGATCAGCATTTGGAGTTCTTGGGCTAGTAGACAAGTGGATGGGAAAAGAGATCCTTGAAGGTAAAAAGTTGATTGTCCTCTTGTGATCCAGGGATTGAAGCTAATCTAAGATCTCTTTTAATTTAGGTTTGCATAGGAATGTGACAGTGGTCCAGAGGTGGGTGGGGAGAAGAAGCATTAAAAGTATAATCATATTGGGAAGGGAATTTTCCTTCTCTTTTCCTTTTCCTTTTCTGTCCCTTCTTTCCAAAAGGCACCTGTGCTACCCTTCATCAAAAACGATCCCAGGGTGGTTTTACATGTCTTCATAAGGGAGAAGGGGAGGGGTCTTTTGCGAGCTTGCAGTTTGCGGGTTTTTCTGAACGGCACTAAAAAAAATAATCTAGTCAGTTAATTAATCAAAAGGGGTTTTCTTCCTAATCAAGCTAACAGATAATTCGCTATCCTGTTGCTGTATAGATATAATAAACTTCTTGCCTTGTCTATAGAATATCTGTGTTTAATTCAGGACTCAAAATCTGAATTGACCCTCACTTAATTCAGAGCAGAGAAAGTATGAGGAAAATACATTTGTTTGGTTTTGTATTCGTTGTTTTTATAAAAGTTTTGATGCTTCCTCCCCTTTCCAAAAACAAGGGGGGGCAGGGAGAGAGAGGAATTTGTGTTTGACAAAATAATAATGGCATAAGTCTTTCCCAGTGAGGTGTAGGACAGTGGTCCCCAACTGTTTTGACACTGCAGACCGATTGTGCAAGGAACGCAGGACACCCCCCTGTACTCATGTGCATGCATGAAGGGGGGGCACTCATGTGGGCATGTGCAGATGCACAAAGATGTGCAGGACACTTGTGGGGGGCACACACTCATGCACATGCACAAAGGGGCTATGCAGGGGGGAGTACATGCGGGGTGTGTGGGAGATCTGTCTCCACATCCCAGGCCAGGCCAGGCCATGGACCAGCACCAGGCCACGGTCTGGGGGTTGGAGACCCCTGGTGTAGTGGATAGAGTGCTGAACGAAGACTCTGGAGAACAGGGCTTGAAATGCCACTCTGTCATGAAATTGACTGGAGAAGTGGAACTGGTAAAACCTCTCCTTAAATATTTCATTTACCTTGAAAGCCTTATTAGGGTTGCTATAAGTTGGCTCCTATTTGACAGCTCAGAACACAGACACACAAGCCTTTAAAAGGAATTTTAAATATATCTGAAAAACTGGCAGTGCCAAAAACAATATAAACAGAAGAACCAAACATTTTACTAATAGGAAAATGTTGATCATTTGGCAGAAATATATCTGTGAAGATTCTCAGTCATCCAAGTGAGGTTATCTGGAAGCTGAGTCATGGCAACTGGACTTCTTTCTTATTAGGTTAAGACGTTTCACTACTCGCCCAAGTAGCTTCTTCAGTTTGAGGAGAGTTGCTAGGAGATCCCTGATATATCCTCCACCTTCATTTCACTTCCCCCTAGTCTGAATAGGCTCATTAGATGGACAATAGATGGGGGTGAGTGAAATTCCCACTTCTGCAATCCACCTCCACCCATCATGGGTCCTTAACAGTAGTCTTTCTGGTGGGTGTGGTCCTGATCTTTCTGGGGACAAATGAAAGGGCAGAATGATAAATAGAAGACAAATTGTGTCTAAGGCCTCAACCCTTGTT